CCCCCAAAATAAATAATTCCTACTAAGATGATCACCACTGACCCTGATTTATTGTTTTTCTTTTAGGGAGATTTAAATTTGCTTTGATGAAGCTTATCTTGTGAAGAAGAGAGTACTCCACTCAGAGAATCACACATATTTAAATATCTAATTTCTCCTAGGCTGTGATTAGGAACCTTATAGCCCGAAGGCACTTACCGTGGCCTGCTCAGTATAACTCCAAGCTTTGTTCTTGACCTACTCTGCTGACCATCTCTTCTACAATCAGGCTGGTTCCCAGACCCATGTGAGCATCAGTAAGCACTGCCCAACAGGCCCTTGTTTGGATTTTTCGTGTAAGGTGTAAACCCCCTGGACGGGATGCATGCATCTAGCCTAACGCATCCTCTGGGGATAGAGATATTTAAATAGCAAAGGCTTGTATCTCGATAGTACAGTCCTCAACAAGAATTACAAGAGTTAGCAACCAAAAATTATTGAAGAGAAGCATCTATCTTTGGAATGCATGAAAAAGCAGGCTGATCACATGGTGAGAAGGCGTAACTGATGCGATCTGTTATGTAGATGGCCCCAGATCCCTTGCTGAACAGTGGGTTGGCCCCCAGTGGAAGATTTATAGGGGGATACAAGTGAGCGGGCAAGTATGGATTTGGGTCCCATATTAATGAGAACACAGACGTTGATATTTTGTTGTTCTTCAGTTCTAATATTGGGTTTTAGAAGAAAGAAGATAACAATGATTTAACTAGAATCAACTTAATCATTTTTTAAAGTGACTTCTAGAACATACTCACCCTGAGGTGTAATCAACCCAATCCCCCCATTTTTTCCATCTCTATTGTTCTGTAAAACAGGTATCAAATTCGAAATTCCCAGGTACCCCCAAACCAGATTAAAATGGAATTGGGAAATATTTAACAAAATCAATAAAAATGCAATAAAACATAGATGTTAATTAGTGGTTTTGTAAGTCAATATGCTGCCGGTGGGGATCTATCTTGATTTGAATTTGAAACCATTGCTGGACAGTAACTGCTGGCGTTGGTCCAAAAGATTCTCTGCACTGGGTACATTTTATTAGTGTGGTTGACCATCCTTCAGGAAGACTTGGAGGAGGAAAGAAATACTATTTTTGAAAATACTAACCACAAAACAAAGTTAGTAAAAATGCTTCATTTTCTGCACATTATTGAAGTTTAAATTAAAAAGATTATTTCAAATTCCTTCCTCTGACCTTTGTATTGAGAGAGGTTTTTTTCTCCAGAAAAGTAATTAGTGAACACTCAGTGTATCTAAGATGTGCTGGGTACCATTTTTTTATTCATTCAATAAATACGTGCCATAGGGTCAAAAGTCAGCTTTGCCTATGAAGAATATTTACCATAATAAAGCTATGAATGATAACCTATAAAACACCTAACATAATATTCCATAATATAATAAATTATGATAATAAAGCTCTGAAGCTTTAAGGTTTGTAAAACTCTTTACATAATCTCCCTTTCACTCTCCACCTTTCATCACCTCTGGCTGGTGACAGTTTAAAATCTTAGAGCCAAAGGATTCCCCCAGGAGGGGAATGGAGTTGGAATGACTGTGTTCTAGTCTTAGCTCTTTCTACCAGTGTAATGGTAAACACATTATTCTCCCTTTCCAGAGCAGCTTCCTTAGCAGTAAAATTGGAGAAATTGGGCCAGATTATCTCTAAAGTCCTCCCAGTCCTGATATTCTGTGATTTAATCCACTGTAACAATAAGAAAACAGGAACACAATGGTAGTTTTTAAAATGCCCTCCTCCCTCAATCAAATGTAACCACCTTAAAATGACATGTTTTCACTCTCATACAGCAAAGTGACAAAGGAATCGCAACAGTACTTTTGTTTTATTGAAGACATATTACAGTAGACAAATATTACACATGCTATACAAAATATACATTCTTATAGGTGAGAAAATATAAATACCAGGAAAGGGCAACGTCAAAAAAGGACAACTTGACTTATACCTCTCTTTGGGTACAACTAGTTTCATAGCTGCTATTACTTTGGCATCCTCTGATAGAGGGTGGGGAAGGGGAGGCAGGGAGACTAAAAGGGTACAGAGGAAAGGAGAAGGTAAGTGAAGGTTAGAAAGGTGGCCATTATAAATGAAGAGGCTACTTTATCACTAGTTGAAGTACCCTTGAGCTTTATGTTGGATAGATACACATTTCCTTGAAGATACAGTAACAGCTGATAATGAAAGAGTTCACTTTGCCTACTGTATCTTTAAAATACACATATACATAGAGGTTCCTAGCCGCCCTCTCCCCGTGTCATCTTGAGTGTGATCAGGACTTGTCCAGGAGTTCACCATCTATTCCATCCTACAGGGGACCTGGGTTTTCAAGCTCTGATTGGGGTTGATATCAATTTCCAGAATACCAGTTAACTTGAAATTTTTCATTTTATAAATCAGTGAAGAAGATTGTTTAAAAAAAAAAAAACTGAGCCTAGATGGGCACAATCAGGTGATGTGGGTGAACAAAATTCATTTGCCAAGCAAAAGGGGGAATGATAAGGAAAACAAAGTATTATTTCCAAATAAAGAGATAGCAGATATCAGCTTGACCTTATGAGGGCCAACTATGTCATTGTGACCCTTAAATAATGTAAAGCAAAAAAGTAAAATAAGGAAAGTATGTGAAATGAAGGTAAATGAATTCTTAGCATTGCATTTGCATTCATGCATTTTTAGATTTCAGCATGTTAAACAGAAAAGGGTTAGAAACAATTATCAGAATATCTGGGGGCAGCATTGAAGAATACAAGTCCCTCTGAACTAACCAGGAAAGAGAATGAAAATGATCTCTGAGACAATAAAAGTTATGTGAAACTAGAAGTTTTAACAGACATTGGATATTACCATTTGTTGGAGATACTGTAGAGGGGTTTCATTAACCAAGCAGGTGCTTGGATTAGATGACCCTGAAGGTCCCTTTTAGCTCAAGGAGCAGCATGGGACTTATAAAACATATATGATCAATATATTTTTTAAGTTGTCTCCTAATTCTACTTTTTAAGTTAGGCTCCTAATTCCACTTTCCACATCAATGTCACATTTTCTAGAGATTCATAGGATTTAGAACTTGGTAGGACCTTTAGAGCTTAAGCTAGTCTTACTCCCTAGTTTATAGATAAGAAAATGAGAGAAATTAAATGCTTTGCCCTAGGTTACAAAGATAGGAAACAGCAGAGCCCAGAATTTTAACCTTGTTCCCCTAATACCAAATCTTTCAACTTACTCACATTTGTGGATTTAAAGACTAAGATACAGGAGGGGGATAAAGATCCAACACATGGTTTTATTTTGGGTAAAGTCCATGTGGGAGAACAAGAAATGGTGGGATTATCAAAATCCCCTGAAAATGTGGGAATTTCACAGAAATCATAATTGGAAGGGACCTTACAGGTCACCTATGTCAAACCTCCTTCCTAATGTAGGAATCTTTTCTATAATATCCATAACAGAGGGTCATCCAGCCGTTACTTGAATAATTTCTCACTGTGTTGAGGCAGGCCACTCCATTTTTGTGCAGTTCTGACAAAAAAAAACAAAAACAAAAACAAAAAAAAAACCTTCTTCCTTACATTGAACTGACAGGTATCTGCTGAATTTACATCCATAGGATCTGGGCTCAGATTTCTGCTTAATACCCATGTGACCTTGGGCAAGTCACAATCTCTTTGGGATTCATTTTCTTCATCTGCAAGTGGTTGGACTAGCTCACATATGAGCTCCCTTCCAGGACTAAACCCATGAACCCAACCACCTAGTGCTTCTATTTCTGCTTGATATGATATTGTCTAATTCTCCTCCACCAAGATTTGTGGTAGGCTGGAATAAAGTCTAAACTGCCAACATCTTGAGGTTCCTTTTCATCTTCAAAGTGATATATGGAAGCAACTGATCTTGCACAGGTGAATTATCTATTCTGATAACACTCCAGGGGCAGATATACATTTAATTGGTCTCCTAATACCTTCTATCTTAGAGAAGTTTGAGTTATTAGGGAATGAGATTAAGAAAACGGATTTGTAACAGGAAGCCAAATAACTCAGCTAGGCCCGTGTTATGGAAAGCTTGGGGTAACTAGGAAAATAATGTTGATTTTTTTCAGGTGAAATTAGGTGATCAATCAGTCAAGAGATACAAATGGATGAATTAGGAACACTTGCTCATCCTGCTGAAAGGCAGCGATCAGAAAAACACAGCCCTGAGCACTTCAGTTTGCCTAGGAGCTAAGCAAGGATGCCTGTTATATTAGCATTAGGTAGATATTACACTATTCTGAACAAACACTGAAGAGTCACTAAGTTAGTTTAAACTGTGTGGTTAAATTGCTACTGGAGAATTAGTACTGTCATTAGGCCAAAAATGGATGTATAATGAAGCCTCTCTAATGCCTGCTTCTAGGGCAAGCACCAAGTCCTGAAGCTAGTCAAATTCACTTCTTTTTAGAGCTGAGCCAGCTTTCCCCTTCTCCAGATCCACCAAATTACTGAAGGGGGAAGAACCTGGGAACCGAGTGAAGTGAGCAGAACCAGGAGAACATTGTACACGGTGACAGGAATACTGTACGATGATCAACTGTGAAGGACTTAGCTATTCTCAGCATTACAATGATCCATCCAAGACAATTCTGAAGGACTTACGATGAAAAATGCTATCCACCTCCAGAGAAAGAACTGATGGGAGTCTGAACACAGATCTAAGTGTACTTTTTTAAAACTTTATTTTCTTGTTTTGTTTTGCTTTGTTTTGGGGGGGTGGGGTGTCTTCTTTCACAACATGGCTAATATGGAAATATGTTGTGCATGACTACTCATGTATAACTATAAAAGTGCTTGCCTTCTCAAGGACGGGGAAGGGGAAGGAGAGAGAGAGAATCTAGAACTCAAAATTTTAAAAGACTAACATTAAAAAATTGTTTTTACATGTAATAGGAAAAAATAACAAAATATAAAACTCTTCACCTGAAAAAAAAAAAAGTTACTGAAGGGACCTAAGGATCCTGGGAAAAGAGTGCAAACGTTTTAGGCTGACCAGTTAGAAGGGTAGGAACGAACCACTGATTGGAAAAGTGGAGGTAATTCTTGGGACAGTGGCGAGAGGATAAGTTACAGTCTAGAAATAAGCAGGGGTTATGCCACGTGCAATCACTTTGACTAACGAGGGACACTCTTTCAGGCTTGTTACCATGCTATCATTCCTGCCAAGAGGAAGCAGTCAGGGATGTTGGAACAAGGAGCACCACGCAAGTTGTTCTGTGAAAATTGCTTTTCTTCATGTAGTGTTGATCTTTCTTGGATCAGGAAGAGAGCCTTTCAAAGAGGCTCATATTGTAACAAGAGAGGGACAAGAAGGGGAGGGATAAGAAGTAGACCTGTCTTTCAAAAATTTTTTAAATGAAGAGATTTTTTGAGAGGTGATTGATTCTAAGTGAAAGGGTCCACTTGGTAGTCTATGTTACGGAAGAAAGGAAATAACAAGGGAACGGCAGTATTAGCCAATCAAAAAAGTGCTAGTGGGGTAAGGGAAACAAAAGAATTAAAATAAATCAATAAAACTTAGCTGAAATTACTGGTGGACAACATGGGAATCTTTGGGAGAATCTAGATCTTCTTGAGAAGCACATTAAACGAGAAAATTTTAGTAAGATGGTGACTGACCTCCCTTTAAATGGACCAAACCATAACTGGGTTAAGGTACTGAATTTGACCATAAGAAGAGACTTAGAAGCTATAAGGAAAACAGAAATATGCAACATTACTTTTCTTTGCCCACTTAAAGTCATTAACTTACAAACAAAAGCTTTAGTAACTAGAAATATCATTGCTGGGTAAAGTTGATCTGCCGTAAGTATCATTTACAGAAACACCGAGTCAAAGATCTCACAGACCAGTAGCTTCTCCACTTACAGCTTCTCTACATTCTCTGTGTTCTACTGTATATCTATGTGTAGTACATTTTTGTTTTTAAAAAATCCTTCTGCATCTATTTTGAAAGGAATGTCTTTGGTCAAACTGGTTGTTTCCTAAACCCCACATGTACATGGACAAGTCCTTCTGGATCAAAAGCACAGGACCACCTGAGGTTTACAAAATGAAAGAGAAGAACTGAGGACAAACAATCTGTCTATAGAAGAGAACAAAAAAGTGTGAATTTCTGCCAATGAAAAGAATCCAGAAAGTGCCAGTGACCCCAGGATGGCCATCTCTGTGTAAATTTATCATGAGGTACCCTGCTTATACACAAAGACTTCTTAATCAGTAAGAAGTTTTCAATGCAAATTTTTTAAACTTTCCAAGTTCTACAAAATCCATTTCTGGTCTGTTAAGCAGCTGTCAAAATAACACACAATATTACATAATTTTGGCATATTAAAAAAATATTTACATTAAGCTGACATTTTACATGTAGTGAATACAAAAAATATTTGTAAGTGAAAATGTATTTACAACTGCTGTCCTGGTCTGACAGGGACAGAAACTTAAAACGCAAAGCCCTAAACTTGGTACCAATCTGCCAAAACAAGGATGGGATTCTTGTTTGTTGCCATGAAAAAGAAGCACCAGCTCAAAGGTAGGCTTACGGTTACACAAAAACTTGACGCGCACTTTTAGAAGTCTTCTCAGAAGACCAAGTAAGTTAGCCAAGCTCTCTCCGGATAGCAAGCAGCAATCTCATTCTCCCAACCTCTTTCTACTGCAAACCTGGACATTGTCCCCCTGGGCCCAAGAGAAACAGTTGTTGTACTAGTCAGGTCCTTGGGCCGTCTCTCGATCTGATGCGACTCAAGAGAGGAGAGAGCTGGACTCTTCCGTCCTCCTCAGTGACCAGCTCACTCGGCCCACGCAGTTGTACTTGTAAACATGACAGGAAAGCAAAGGTGAACCTTGGGGTTCCCTCTGAGCTCTGAGGTAGTACATACACAGCTGGGGATTGAAGTGTGCGTCCACACGCCAGTCTGAGTGCAGCGTGCTTCATGTAGCTTCACTGCCATCTTGTACATTCTGAGTCCTGCTGAAGTCAAAGGGGTGGCCTTGCAGCCTGTGACAGGGTCTGGGGGAAGCAGAATGGTCCTCATCACCTTCTGTCAGGTTCTCACTTTGGAGAAGTCGTGGTGACTCAAGGACTGGCTGCTGGGAAAAGTGAGATTGTGGGAGTCCAAGTTCTTTGTTTATGCCCCATAATGGCCGCTGTGATGTTTCTGAGAATAAAATACCAAACAAGAAATACAAGATCAAGATTTATTTTTAATGACTTTTTTCTCCTTTTCCTTTCTTAAGTCAATTTTTTTAAATAAGGCAATATTATCTTGTATAAAATGTATGTATTATTCCTCAACAAAGATCCTCAGTATTCCTCAATAAATATATTCCTAGGAAAATAACATACACAGCAAGTATATTACTGATGTTAATACATTAAAGAAACACTATTTATGAGGCTAACTTTAGCACCCCATTCCACTCCCACTTCCTCCACCTAAACCAGGAGTGAAAGACCTTTCATTTTGGTACGCTTCTCATAAAAACAAAGCATTCCCCCTCAAGTACATGGAAGCATTAGACTCCAAGTGACATTGACCACAAACCCCAAGCACTTGCAGAACTCAGGGTTGACTAATTAATTTAAAATGTCATGACACAGACGATAAATCCCTGATTTGGTACAGACAATTCACTCTGACACGAAACCCATGGTAAGCGCCACAATCGCACTCCCCCCTCCCTAGCCACCTGACAAAAAAGTGAGTATTGAAAAAATTATCCATATAGTGTCTCTTGTAAGAAAGCTTTTCTGCCAGGGAGAGATTTCAATTACATTTCTCCTTTACTTAGTTCTACTCAAAGTACAGTGATAGGTAGAAGTAAGGTGCTTACCCCTCTGCCGTGACACTGCTAACAATATGCTGTATTAATTCTATGCTATATGTTTGGGACTAAAAAGTGAGATACCTATGAAAAAACTACTCAGAAACAAATACGGAGTACGTTAAGAACAAGAAGACCTTTAGAAGAATTATGAATGGACAAATGAAGTCAAAGGACTCTCACTTGCTACTTTCCTTATTTGGACAGATAAAATAACAAAAGCAACTAAAGACAAGGAAAGAGAAATCACAGATATTATTGTATCCGTTTATATTATTCATATTCACTACTCTGTCTTCTGAGGAGAAAGGCAATGAACAGGGCCCTGCGTAATTTCCTTCCCTGAGCAGTGGCAGTAATGACAAATGATGGGTATAATTTCACCAATGGCACTTTTCCAACTTAGGAACCCCATTTCTACCCTGCAAAAAACCTTTGGTCTCTTACACACAGAAGCCTGGGGAAATGCTTCTTGTCTGATAACTGAACACGGCTTAAGTTCCAGGTTAGGCTTTCTCAGGACAGCCCCACACACTTTGCAAACATCCAATATGCATATTCCCTCTATCTTCTTCTCTTCCTCAGCTACCGCTGGCCCTGAATCATTCTGCTCTTCACTAGAGGATCTGGGTTGGCAAAGGAGGCCAGCAGCCTGACTGGATGAAGAAGCATCTTTTAAAGGTGCTTTTCAGGGGCCAAGCACAGAACTTGGTTTCATTCACTCACTCAGGAATCCAACAAAGATTTACCAAGAGCCCAAATACAAAGTATCAGGTGTTCTCCTCTGGCTGTCTGGGAAAACCACTGCCTTACTCCCTCTCTCCCCCAAACTGCTACTCTGTGGTGTACCCCCAAATCAGAGCAGCCTTGAGCATATCCCACAAAAGAAATCAGGAAACTGGCAAGTGAGAAAAATTTTTCTTATTTATCTCATAGTATCTAGAAGCTGCTACAGCAAACTGAGTGGAAACTTTTTACTCTTCTCAATGAAACTACAAAAAAAGGAAGGATTTTTCAGTCTTCCTACTATAATTTTTACACTTTATTCAGTGTTATTCCACTAAAAATAAAAGATGAGAAAGGGGAAGACACACATTTTCTAACTAAGCCCAAATTCCTATATACCCTATGAATTTTAAATAGTGTCATCTTGTTAGCATCCAACAGTTTTATTCAAAGTCCTACAAAAACAGAAATCTTTGGTTCCAGTTGATAGCACAAAATTCAGCTTTATGAAAGTAATTCAACACTCCATCAAACCAATTCATTTTGCACAATGCCAAGTGACAAAGCTATATTAGGTTCAAAGTTAAAAACTCAAGGCAAAGAAAGTAACCCTAAAGAGAAGAAAACAAAACATCCCATAAGCCTTACCACTGCTCAATTGTGTGGATGCAAGTGCCTTCTCATTGATCCGGTCATGGCTGGTAAGGAAGCCCGACATGTCTCTGTCTCCCGAAGACATCAAGGTGTCCACAATGGCAGCTTCTGGGGAAGGATGTGCCAAACAAGTCTCCTGGGGCATCTGGACCATGAGGCTAGATAGCGTTTGATCCAGACCGTCCTCCTCGGTGATATAGGTGTATGGACAATATTCCCTGGTCCTAGAGTAGATGTTGGCATTGTCGTAACAATCTGAGCAGATCACCCGGCTGCCACTGCCACCTGATGACAACATGGGAAAAACCAAACACTCCTCACTTACGAAGCAAAGCAGCCAAGCCCTACCTAGCCTTCCTGCTTAATCATGATTTTGTGAAATTATGATGAAATCAAAGGAGCTGAGACAAAGCTGGCATGAAAGTCTAAGACACACATCTGAGTTGTGCAAAACAAAGCAAGGACTGAGGAGCTAAGAGCTCATTCCATGAAACCCTCACTTTAAACTGGGCAATGCTAACTTCTGGATGGAAACTTGCAAGGATTTGGGATGGGGACACTATCTCAACAAGTTGTGCTACCAGCATTTTTTTTTTAGGGGCAGCTAGGTGGCGCAGTGGATAGAGCACCAGCCCTGGAGTCAGGAGGACCTGCATTCAAATCCAGCCTCAGACACTTGACACTTAACAAGCTGTGTGACCCTGGGCAAGTCACTTAACCCCACTGCCTAGCCAAAAAATAAAAAACAAAAAAACCACAAAACAAACCAAAAAAAAAAACAACCAGCATTTTCTTTAAACACATTTTCCCCCTTCCTGGGATAACACTTTGGTTTGGTAAACCCAGCCAATGCTTCATTCCGATCCTTGCAAGTAGATATTTCGCCTATTTCTGGCAATTAAGACTTTTCTTTACTGGAGTCAGCATGGTACAATAGAAAGAACACTAGCTCTGCAGTCAAGAAAGACCTGGGTTCAAATCCTGCTTCTCACAATTAATCTTGGGTAATTCAGTCAGGTAATCTCCTTGGGACCCCAGTTTCCTCCTTTATAAAACAAAGGGGCTGTGCTAGCTGTTCTTTGAGATACCTGACAGCTCTAAATCTATGACCCTGTGATCTCTGCCTGTCAAGGATTTCTGTCTGAAAGCACTCATACGGAGATAACAGTCAGAAGATCTGGGTTCCAATCTCAGCTCTGCTGCTTACTACCTGTGAACTCTTGGGCAAGTCACTTTCTCTTTTTCAGTCTGTACAATGAGGATGCTGGACTGGTGACTTCAAAGCTCCCTTTTAGCTCAAAATCTGTGATTCTTTGTGTGTGGGGGCGGGGCAGTTGGGATTCAGTGACTTGCCCAGAGTCACACAGCTAGTGAGCGTTATGTGTCTGAGGCTGGATTTGAACTGTCGGGTGCTCCTGACTCCAGGGCCGGGGCTCTATCCACTGCATCACCTAGCTGCCCCTCTTATTTTCTTTATAACCAGATGTTTTCTCCTAGGACTCTATCTTTGAAATAATACGATGCACTTCACAAAAATGTTTTAAAACCAACTTTCCCCAAACACATCTCTTTTGTATAGTGAAGAAAATTTGTACTAGTTTAAGTTTCAGACAGGCTGGAATGATACCTAAGCAGGTGCAGCTACCTTCTGGGCCTTTATGTATGTATCCGCTTGCAGGCGGCATAAGCTGCTGGTGACTCCCAGCCTCAGAGTTGCTATAACCTTCCTGTGGTTCAGACAGCGTTCCCTGAGAAGACAGGTAGCTAGGGATGTCAGCAGGCAGATTCAGCTCTTCTGTGGAGACAGGCACACAAGCAACTTTCAAGTCAACACTCAGGGAAACACTGAGCATGCACAATCTATGCAAAGGTATAGCAAATAACCATTAGCCAAAGGAACAGTCACCTAGGGATACCAACAACCCTGCCACATCTCTCTTGGTTCCAGGCATTTTATCTGGCTGTCTCCTGTGCCTAGAATGCTCTTCCATCTCTGCTCATATTACTGACCTCCCTAGATTCCTTATAAATCCCAGCTAAAATCCCACTTCTTCAGGAAGGCTTCTCCAAAACCTCCCAATTCCAGTGCCTTCCTTCTTTTAATTATTTCCCATTTATTATATTTATTTATTATGTGCCTTGTATATATTTGCTTGTATGTTGTCTCCCCCACTAGACTGTAAGCTCCTTGAGGGCAGGGGCCGTCTTTTGCCTCCTTTTTTTTTAATACCCAGCACTTAGCACAGTGCCTGGTACATAGTAAGCACTCAATAAATGTTTATTGATTGATAGCCCCCCAGCCTATAATTGTACTTAAAACCATCACCACTGGCCAGTTACCAGTTCCATTTCTCTCCAAGTTCTTGGGGGGGGGAACCAAACCCCAAAACCACATCTACCTACTTGTTCACCAAACAGCCTCCTCTCTCCTGGACTTTCAGTATGGCAGGTGCATAAAACTAGTAAAATCGCAACACTCTTTCGACCCTCCAAAGCAAATGATCTGATCTTACCTCCAACGGGAAGAAACAGATCAACACAAAGGGGCCACTGCAACTGGCAGAGTGCCAGGAACATGGTCTTAGCACAAGGAGAGGCTTCGGAAGATCAATAGTCACTTCAGAATGCTCCTCAGACACAAACTTCCCGATGCATCAAAGAAGTCGAAAAAGCGGTAGCAGAAAAATGCTTTTCCCCCTTTATCACAAACCAGAGCTATATTATCAAAGTCCCTTAGTTCACTAACATTTTATAATATTCCCCAGCACAGCGATTACTAAAACTAAAAAACAAGCACTGCCTCTGCAGACACTTCTCACCTGTGTTGGTAATACTGTAGTCTTCATTCTTCCTTCTCATATGGTAAATAACAATGACCCAAATCAGAGAGGTGCCTACGACGCAGCATACCACCACGATGATAACAATCCCAACGGTGGTCCAGCCATCATCTTCATGCCCAATGCTACTTTGGGAGGAATCACAATTAGAGGAAGAGATTACATTTAAGTAAATGTGACCACGTTCTGTCCCCAAGGTGTTGGACATGATACAGGTATATTTCCCAGCATCTTCTAGCCCAGCATCTACAATGATAAGAAGCTGATTGGCTGCTGCAAAGAAGTGCCTTTCGGTCACCATCAGAGGACCATCATCTTTTGTCCAGTTGAGGCGAGGGGCTGGACTTCCTCCAGCGATGCACTGCAAGACAGCTGTCTCACCTCGAGTTACAGTTCTGTCCTCCAGAGGTCTAATAAAAGAAGGTGTTTCTAGAAGGGAAAAAAGAACAATATTTTAAGTTAGGCAACCTGACTTACACCTGTCTTTAATAAATTAGGTAGAGGAACATTTTTCTAACATTATTTAAGCTCTTTGGTGCAACACTGCCTCAAACCCCAATACTACCAAGAAAAACCATCAGAAAGTCAACGAATTCACCTAAAGCTGGACAAAGCAAATGAATAAGGTATTTTTCCTTTTGCCAAGAGCAGGATTAGTTATATCATGAGAGATTGGGACTTCTACTTAACTTCTCCATCAGAGCCTCTCCACCAGACTACATGACCCACCCAGTTTTATTCCAAAACAAGATCCTTCCACCTAAGGGACAAGAACAACAAAGGACCAGGAGATCCAGGCTGCCAGGCCTGCCTGGAATGAAGATGCCTCACTTAGAAGGTTCCTTTCCCGCAAAACCAAGGGTAGCTCCTGAGTCATAAGGCTTTAGTCAGATACTGTGAGCCATGGGAAAGGAAAAGAAGCTCACCTAACACTGTTAAGGTGGCGTTCGCTGAGAGACCGCCTGCAGTATTTTGCGCCATGCAGCTATATATCCCCATGTCTTCTATCTTCACATTGGCAATGAAGAAGACATCATCCTCAGGCATGACATGCATACGTCTTTCTCGTGCTGCGGGGAAGTCTGTGCCACCATCTTTCTGCCAGGAAATCTGAGGGGCAGGATGACCCTCTGCAGCACATTCCAGCCTGGCCATGGCTCCAGTACGGATAGTTAGGTCCATTGGGGTTTTCAGAAACGATGGTAGCTCTGTAACAAAAAAGGCAATACCAAGAATGAGACGAAGAACAGGAATGCACGAGAAAAACTGGCATCCTCCCTACCAAACACCAGCTCTGCACAAAGGCTTGTGCTTCTGGATCAGAGTGGCAGAGGCAGCCTGAAGGAAAAATGGGCAGCAGCATCAATAAGGTCAGTGAGATCATGCCCCGTCACATTCTGCGGGAAGTAACCTCTCCATTCCCAAGAACCTGAAAAATAGCAGCACCTTGCCTCACCCTGGCCTCTAGCCCCAAAGACAGCCCAATTCTACCACAGCCTTCTAGGAAGTAACCAGAGGAGATGTGGCTCCAGCCTACCTGCCTGCCAGCAATGCAGTCTCAGCAGTCACAGCCACAAAATACCCAGAAGAGTTCTTGCCACCAAAACCCCTGGCAAGGTTTGACGGTTCAAACTCAGAAACAAGCAAGGTTCTATCCATCAGAACACCAGCACAGATGTGACTGTTCACCAGCCTCCTCTCCCCTTGACACTCTAGCTACCCTGGGTTACCTGTCACCTGGACTGGCTGTCTCCTGACTGTTCTGAAGGACTGGGCCTTCACATGAGCTGTCACCGCTGCCTTTCCATTCCCTCTCCAGCTGCAGTCTCTCTCCATCAGAATGTGAGCTCCTTGAGAGCAAGCACTGTCTCAATCCCCCACGTGTATTTCCAGCACCTTACTGCTCTCCAGCTACCCAGATCTGACACCCCTCAGTGACTCTGCACTGCCTACCCCACCCAAACATTCTCCCTGGTCCTTCAGTTTCCTTCACAACTCACCTCAAAACCCTCCTTCTCTAGGAGCCCTTTCCCAGCTCCCACCTCAGCCCCAGCTGCCAGTGCCATGTCCTCGGAAGTTACCTTTTCCCTACTCTCTTTCCCATTAGATGGTGAGCCGCCTGACAGCAGGGACTGTTCTTGCCTTTCTTTGTTTCCCCCAGCCCTTAGTACCCACAGGCAGGCACTTCACAACTGACTGCTGACTGATTACTCAGTTCATAATAAAGCCCTGTTCATTCTTCCACTTAAGGAAGGGAATAAGCAAAGCACCTACTATGTGCCAGGATCTGTGCTAAGTGTGGTACAAATATTATCTCATTTGATCCTCCCTGCTGTTAATACTCCCATTTAGAGTTGAGGAAACCGAGACTCACAGAGGTTAAGTGACTAATCCAGGGTCACAGAGCTGGTCAGTGTCTGCGGCTATATTTGAATTCAGGTCTTCCTGACTCCAGGCCCAACCTTCTATCCCCTGCAGCACCAGGACTTAAGTCTTTACGCAGTGGTACAATAACTTCTAGAAGCAAGTGCCTACCCTCACTAACAGAAGGGAAAGCAGAATGTCCAAAAATATGCGTGCACACACACACGTCTACATATATATATGTACTTATATAAATGTTAACAGACACAAGTACATATTGCACATATGTGCATATGTGTTTATGTGTATAAGTATATATGTGTGTGTACACACACATAAATACCTTTAAAGCCACTTGGAACAAGCTATCTTCACTTCATTGTTAAGTTTTCACCTACAAACTGACTGTTTTCCTCGCTAACACTCATAAAGCTGAAGAAGAGATGAGAGGTGCAAATTTGTGTCCACCTTCCACACTGGTCTGGGACACAAAGAAACCAAGGCCCAAAAAGTGCCGCTCTTCCCCCCACCCCTGCCCAAGACCCTACTGGCACAGAAATGCCACGGTCGTGAGGTGACACAGGAAGGCCACTGGGAGTGGTGGGAGCCATATGATTTGTATATAGCAAACAGCAAACACATTTCCTTGACTATCCTGTGACTAAAACTCAACAACCATAACTCATCTTATCAGATGGGGACTGACACCCCCAAGTACTTCTCAGGGTACAGAGGTGTGGAGGCAGCCAGGCTCCCAACGGAGGTAGTTTGGCCTAAAGGAAAGACCACCATTCTTGGATTCTAAAGATTTGAGGGTTCGAGGCCCGGCTCTGTCATTTACTAGCTGGCAAATCACTTCACGTGAGAGTCTCCGTTTCTTCATTTATGAAATAAGGACAGTAATACATGCACTACCTATATACCTCATGGCATTGTAAGGAAAATACTTGGTAAATCTTAAGAGTGCTATAGAAATATAAATTATTATACCGCCCTTTTGTAAAACTCCTCCAAAGTTATAGACCCCCAAAGGACACTAAATGGGCAAGCCAGCTCAATTAGAGAACCTGCCCGCTCACAGAACTCTACCATAGTACAGTAGTATCCTCCCACATATCAGGAGGAGTCTAATTTTCTTGGTCAAATGAATAAAATCAAAAGAATAAAGTTATTAAGCTTTCTCAAATTTAAAAGATAACAAGGGAAATGGTTTCTTACCATTCACAGTTAATTGAGCTTTAAGAGAATAATTAGAACCAAAGTGATTAGTAACAATGCACTGATATTTTCCTTCATCTGTGAAATTCACATTGAAAAGATGTAAAACAGTAGTGTATTCCAAGGCCTCTCCACCTTGCTGCCGATATCGAGCAAAATTCTCGATATCTGCGTCATACAAGATCTCACTGTCTTTTCTCCATGCAGTTGACATTGGTGAGTCACTGCTGCTCACTGCAGTGCATGTAAGGGTCACATTGACTCCTTTCAAAGCATTTGTGGTCTCTGGGTGTGTCCTTATCTGGGGCTTAGGAAAATCATCTGTGGAAAAAAAAAAAACAGGAGCTAAGTTAACTCATTTGTTTTTTCAAACAATCAATAAATTCAACTAGAAACCTAAGGAGCAAACGACAGTTAAATGTACCCTCCAATCGTTGTAATCTGTTTAAGTCTTCAAACCTTAATCCTGCTTCCTAGACTGCATTTCCATTTCCTTCCCAAACATCACCAGCTACTGGACAGAGGGGTAAACAACTCTAGCCCAACATCCTAAGCTAGTCTCACCATTTGCTATATAAATCTAAGAAATCTTTAACCACTGTGTGCTAATTTTCTCATATATAAAATGGGGAGTTAACTCTTTCATAAGGAATACCTAGCACTAAAAAAAAGTTATTTGAAGGTATTATATGGGGCAGAGCTGTTATACAAATACCATGAGTATCTTTAAGTTAAGAGTGGCTATAGATAACCCAGGGTGGGGGTGTGGGGGATGTTGAGGAAAAGATGACAAGAAAAAAGAACTTAGGGGCAGCTAGGTGGCGCAGTGGAGAGAGCACCAGCTCTGGATTCAGGAGGACCTGAGTTCAAATCCAGCCTCAGACACATAGAACTCGCTCGCTGTGTGACTCTGGGTAAGTCACTTAACCCCAATCGCCTCACTAAAAACAAAGAAAAAGAAAAAGAAAAAGAAAAAGGAAAAGGAAAAGAAAAAGGAACTTAAAATGATCAAAGAAGCTAGTAATTTGCAAAATAGGTCAATCTGCCTGGAAGTTTCATACCATCTGACTATAAAATAAAGTCATTCCATTTCCAAAACCATTTTGCTTTAAAGGTAAGTTCTCTAAGTAGGAAAAGGTATAATACAGAAGTTTAGTCAAAGCCCCAAGTAAGTGGCAGATCCCAGACCACACACATCAGAACACATTTCTAGAAAATCATGGTCACTGTCTCTTTGGACTCTAGACGTTGCATGAAATATACAAACCGCAGACAAAGTCTTTGGGATCCACGTTGAGGATGCTCTGTCCAGCGAGCCATTCAGGGTGCGCACAACTCACATTCACAGCATGTTCTAAGTGACTGTCCAGTAGCCACTGCAGCAGCCACCTCAGCTGGCAGTCACAGAGCAAACTGCTGGTGTTCAACATCCTACAAAGGAGACAGAGAGAGAGAGAAAGAGAGAGAGAGAGAATGAGGCTCCACTCCTTTCACTCTTCACGCTCCAAGTCTTTGCAGTGCCAGATGCCTGCTTTACACATTACCACTCAATGTCTCCTTAAGCAGGGAGTATGCTGTCATCCCTAATGAGGGGAGATTACTTTCAAATTCTTTCCACAGGACCAAAGTACCTGGAGTCTCATTTACAAAAAGAACAAAGAGAATGTCACTGGAGGTATGCCTATGGCCTGCAAGAAACCTGTTAAGCACGTCTGAAAAATAAGGGTTTGCTTAAACAATCATTAGTGATCATGTTTCTACCAAGGCCCAGAATGGTTTCCTTCACTCTTTTCAGGAGACCAAGTTGAATTTTTATTAGGGTGTAACATTGCTAAACAAGACTCTAAATTCCTGTGTTTTCTTGCACATGTTGTTTTTCCAAAAAGATAAGCTCAAGTAAAAAGACCAGGTTCTTCTATTATTTTTGTTATCTCACCCCAAGGGCCTTAGCACACTACTCTCAACAAATAACCATTTGAGCACCTATCAAATCTGAGGCAGAATCAGGCACTTGGGGGGACACATTTAGGTGGATTTTTTAATTGTTCATTCCCCAGCAGGAGGCATCTTGCTAAGACTTTAAGCTACAACCTTCACTGACAGAAAGAGTCTCCTCCCTTGAGAGTTCCCTGAACCAATGCAATCACAGCTCCAAACCCTATCCCCAGTTAGAGTGTGAGCTCCTAGAAAACTGTCTGTTTATTTCATCTGTATCCCCAACACTTAACGAAGTGCCTGGCACACAGCAAGCACTTAATTAATGCTTTTTTTTTCCATTCACTAATTGATACTAATGGTGTGGAGTCAAAAGACTAATATACTTTTGGGGGAGTTTCTTCTTTTTTGCTCCCCTAAGGAATTCAAATATAATTTGGGAGATCACGTTGAACTATTAACTTTCTCCTTGTTTCCAAGCAATGCTTCAAGCTAGGTCTATGCAAGCAATCAAGTCAAATCTCTTTTTTCTACTGACCCACTTTTTTTCCCTGGCTGCTGATGAATGGCTTTATAAAGCCCAGAAGAAACATAAATCTGGATTTCCTGATATCTAGAAGGAAAACTATCCCCCCACCATTTTTAAACATTTTTATTTCAAGTTCTGAGTTCTAAATTCTATCCTTCCTCCCCCCTCCCTGAGACTGTAAGCAATCAGATATAGGTTATACATGTGAAATTATGTAAAACATTTCCATATTAGTCATTTTATAAAAGACTCAATAAAAGAAAAAAAGGAAGTGAAAATAGCATACTTTTCAATCAATATCAGTTTTTTTCTCTGGAGAAGGATAGTATGCTTCATCCTTAGTCCTTTGGTATTGTCTTGGATCATTGTATTGCTGAGAATAGCTAAGTAATGCACAGTTCTTCACTGAACAATATTGCTGTTACTGTGTACAATGTTCTCCTGGTTCTGTTCACTTTACTTTGCATCAGTTCACGTAAGTCTTACCAGGTTTTTCCGAAACTATCCTGCTTGTTATTTCTTATAGCACAATAATATTCCATTACAATCATAGACCACAGCTTGTTTAACCATTCCCCAACTAATGGGCATCTTTTTGATTTCTAATTCTTAGGCACCACAAAAAAGAACTGCTTTAAATATTTTTGTACATGTGGGTCCTTTTTCCTTTTTTTATGATCTCTTTGGGATACAGACCTAGCAGTGGTATTGCTGGGTCAAAGGTATGCACAGTTTTATAGCCCTCTGGACATAGTTCCAAATTGCTCTCCAGAATGGCTGGATCAGTTTATAACTCCACCAACAGTACATTAGTGTTCCAGTTTTCCCACACCCCCTCCAACATCCAACATTTTCCTTTTTTGTCATATTAGCTACTCTGATAGGTGCGAGATGATACCTCAGAGTTATTTTAATTCACATTCCTCTGAACAATAGTGATTTAGAGCATTTTTTTCACATGACCATAGATAGCTTTGATTCCTTCATCTGAAAAACTGCATGTTCATATCCTTTGACCATTTATCAATTAGGGAATGGCTTGTAACCACTTTGACCTTATCTTGGTACACGATATGAGATGTTGGTCTATACCTAGTTTCTGCCATACCGTTTTCCAGTTTTCCCAGCAGTTTTTGTCAAATAATGAGTTTTTGTTCCAAAAGCTTGGATGTTTGGGTTTATCATATACTAGATTACTGTGGTCACTTACTATAATGTAATTTGTATCTAATCTATTCCACTGATCCACCATTCTTCTGTTTGTTCTTTGTTCTCAAAGAAGACCATGGCATCAGGAAAGTGATGCCATGACTAGCAAGTGAATTGGATTAAAGTGAGGGAGGGCTGTGCAAAGTCACCAGCCTCACTCTCTCCCCAGGAGCCATCTGGGTCCAGTGGATATAGATCAGGTTGACTGGAGATGGCCCCTGATGCAGTGGGAGACCTTGGCCTTTGTAAGCTAAGGTCTTTCCCAGGTCTCAGTTTGATTAAGGCAATGCCCATTCAGTGATTAAGGCTAGGTAAGAAATAAGACAGAAAATGGCCTCTTTCACCTAGTCAAAAAATAAATAAATAAATAAAACTGAGAGGGGAAGACCCTCAGGGTTTCTGGCCAAAACAGAAACAACTGCTATCTACATTTACTCTGAGCCATCAAAACTGAAACAATGACCGCTTGGGCTGAGACCTACTACTGGACAATCAGTGAGAGTCAGGGTGATTTCAGTTTAAGGCATGGTCCTAAAAAAGGAAATCTACCCAGTAAACTCCAAGATATCTTGTGAGGTTTCAGCAACCAAAATTCATATTCCTTTGGGCAGAGTACCCACAGGTAAGGGTATAATTCCCTATGTGGACAGAAGGAAAAGAAGGAAAGAGAGGAGAGAGGGAGAGAAGGGAGGAAGGAAAAAGCTGCACTGCCCAACTGGAACTGGCCAGCTGGGTCCCCAGCAGGGCAGGTACTACCACTCACAGGTTGCTGTTTGTTAGCCAGTACCAGATTGTTTGGTAATTACCACTTTATAATACAGTTGGAGATTATTTTTTTCATTGATTTCCTTGATATCCCTGACCTTTTGTTCTTCCACATGAATTGCTATTATTTTTATAGCTCTATAAAATAATTTTTTTTATAGTTTGATTAGTATGGCACTGAATAAGTAGACTAATTTAGGTAGAACTGTTATTTTTATTATATTGGCTCAGCCTACCCATGAGCAATTAATATTTTTCTAATTGTTTAGATCTGACTTTATTTGTGTGAAAAGTGTTTTATAATTGTGTTCATATAGTTCCTAGGTTTGTCTTGGCAAGTAGACTCCCAATTATTTTATATTGTCTACATTCTTTTAAATGGAATTTCTCTTCCTATCTCTTGCTGTTGGACTTTGTTGGTAATATATAGAAATGCTGATGATTTATGTAGGTTTATTTTGTATCCTGCAACTTTGCCAAAGTTGTTAATAATTTCAAGTAGCTTTTTACTTAATTCTCTAGGATTTTCTAAGCATAACATCATATCTGCAAAGTGACAGATTTTTTTCCTCATTGACTCTTCTAATTCTTTTAACTTCTTTTTCTCCTCTTACTGCTATAGCTAACATTTCTAGTACAATACTGAATAATAGAGGTGATAATGGGCATCCTTGCTTCACCCCTGATAGTACTGGGAAGCCTTCCAGCTTATTCCCATTACAGATAATGTTTGCTGACGGCTTTAAGTAAATATTATTTATCATTTTAAGGTAAGCTCCATTTATTCCTATGCTCTCTAGTGTTTTTAATAGGAATGGGTGCTGTATTTTGTCAAAGGCCTTTTCTGCATGTATTAAGATAATCATATGATTTCTGTTGGTTTTCTTATTGATATGGTCACTTATGCTGGTAGTTTTCCTAATATTTAACCAGCCCTGTATTCCTGGTATAAATCCAACCTGATCATAGTGTATGATCTTTGTGATATACTGCTATAATCTCTTTGTTAGTATTTTATTTAAATTTTTTGCATCAATATTCATTAGGAAAATTGGTCTATAATTTTCTGTTTTGGCTCTTCCCATTTTGGGTATCAGCATCATATTTATGCCATAAATGATATTTGGAAGGACTCCTTCTTCACCTATTTTTCCAAATAGTTTATACAGTGTTAGGATTCATTGTTTGGTAGAATTCACTTGTGAATCCATCTGGTCCTGGGGATTTTTTCTTAGGAAGTTCACTAATGGCTTGTTCAAATTCTTTTCCTAATATTGGGTAATTTAAGCATTTTATTTCTTCTGTTAATCTAGGTAATTTATATTTTTGTAGATATTCATTTAATTTAGACTGTCAAACCTACTGGCATATGATTGGGCAAAACAGCTCCTAACAATTGTCTTAACTTCCTCTTCCTTGGTAGTGAGTTCACTCCTTTCATTTTTGATACTAGTAATTTGGTTTGCTTTCCTTTTTTAAATCAAATTAACCAGTGGTTCATCTATTTTATTGTTTTTTTCCCATAAAGCCAGCTTCTTGTTTTATTTATTAGTTTCATGGTTTTCTTACTTTCAATTTTATTAATCTCTCCTCTGATTTTCAGGATTTCTAATTTGGTGCTTAATTGGGGATTTTTAATTGTTCTTTTTCTAGTTTTTTAATTGCATGTCCAAATCATTGATGTGTTTTTCTCTACTTTACTGAGGGAAGCAATTAGAAATATAAATTTTCCCCTAAGTACTGCTTTGGAGGCATCTCATAAATTTTGGTATGTTGTCTTATTGTTGTCATTTTCTTTAATGAAATTATCCACTGTTTCTATGATTTGTTCTTTGACCTGCTTGTCTTTTAGGATTAGATTATTTAATTTCCAATTAATTTTTAATCTCTTTCCATTGTCCATTACTGAATGTAATTTTTATTGCATTATGATCTGAAAAGGATGCATTTACTATTTCTGCTTTTCCGAATTTGGTTATGAGGTTTTTATGTTCTAATACATGGTCAATTTTTATGCCATATAGGTGACATATACTGCTGAGAAAAAGGTATATTTCTTTCTATTTCCATTTAATTTTCTCCAGAGACCTATCATATCTAACTTTTCCAGAATTTTATTCACCTCCTTAACTTCCTTCTTGTTTATTTTTTGGTTAGATTTATCTAGTTCTGAGAGGTGAAAGGTGAAGTCTCCCACTAGTACAGTTTTATTCTCTATTTTCTCCTGTAACTCATTCAACCTCTTCAAAAATTTAGACACTATACCATTTGGTACATATATGTTTAGTATTGGTATGACTTAATTGTCTATGGCACCCTTCAACAAGATATAGTTTCCTTCTTTACCTCTTTTAATTAGCTCTATTTTTGCTTTACCTGAGATATCACAATTGCTACCCCTGCTTTCTCTACTTTAGTTGAAACATGATAGATTCTGCTCCAGACCCTTACCTTTACCCCGTGTGTCTCTCTGCTTCAAATGTGTTTCTTGTGAATAATGAATTGTAGGTTTTTAATCCATTCTATCTGCTTTGGTTTTACGGGTGAGTTCATCCCATTCACATTTATACTTATGGTAACTATGTATTTCCCTACATGCTATTTTTTGTTTTTTTATCCCCCCGCCCCTTTACCCCATATCCTTTTCCTCCTCACAAGTGTTTTACTTCTGATCACCACCTTCAATATATTCTCCCTTTTATTAGTCTCCTCTCCCTCTTCCATTTTTCCCAGCCCTTTTTACTTCCTTATAGGGTAAGACAGATTTCAATATCCAACTGAGTGTGTATGTTATTCCCTCTTTGAACCAATTTTGATGAGAGTAATGTTTAAGCTTTGCATGCCACCCCACCCCCCCCATCTTTCCCTCCATTATAATTGCTCTTTCATGCCTCTTTTATGTGGGATAATTTACCCCATTCAATCTCCTCCCTCCTCCTTTCAGTGGAATTTTGTTTCTCACCCCTTTATTTTGTTTTTTGGGGTGTCATCCCATCAAAATCATCTTATATCCATACCCTCTGTCTACATATATTCCTCCTAATTGTTCTCACAGTAATAAAGTTGTTAAGAGTTACACATATTATCTTGCCATATAGAAATAGAAACAGTTTAACCTTATTGAATTTGTTTTTCTCTTTCTTGTTTCTTTTCTACCTTTTTTACATTTCCTTTGAGTCTCATATTTGGAGGTCAGATTTTTTTATTCAGCTCTGATGTTTTAATTAGAAATGCTTGAAAGTTCTCAATTTTGTTAAATGTTCATTTTTTTTTTCCCTGAAAGATTATATTCAGTTTTGCTACACAAATGATTCTTGGTTGTAATCCTAACTCCTTTGCCTTCCAGTACATCATATTCCAAGCCCTCCTAATGTGAAAGCTACCAAATCCTATATAATCCTAACTGTAGCTCCACAATATTTGAATTGTTTCTAATTTGAGCTGCTTGCAGTATTTTCTCTTTGATCTGTGAACTCTGGAATTTGGCTACAATGTTCCTGGGAGTTTTCATTTTGGTATCTTTCAGTCAGTAATGGGTGGATTCCCTCAATTTCTATTTTGCCCTCTAGTTCTAATATACCAGGGCAGTTTTCTTTAATACTTCTTGAAAGATATTGATCAGGGGGGCAGCTAGGTGGCTCAGTGGGACCCAAGTTCAAATCCGGCCTTAGACACATATTTCCTAGCTGTGTGACTGTGGGCAAGTCACCTAATCCCCAACTGCCTCACCCCTTCCCCCCCAAAAAATATAATAAAAGAAGTAAAAAAAGTTAAAAAAAAAAAAAGATATTGTTCAGGCTTTTTTTTTTTTTAAATCATGGCTTTCACATAGTCTTAAATTATCTCTCCTGGCTCTATTTTCTAGGTCAATTGTTTCTCCAGTGAGAAATTTCACATTTTCTTCTATTTTTTTTTTAACTTTTTGGATTTTGTTTTATATTTTGATGTCTCACAGTCATTAGTTTCCACTTGTTCAATTCTAATTTTTAAGGAATTATTTTCTTCAGTGAGCTTTTGTACTTCCTTTTCCATTTGGCCAATTCTATTTTTTAGAGAGTTATTTTCCCCAATAAATTTTTGTCTATCTTTACCCACACTATTGACTTTTTTCATGATTCTCTTACATTACTCTCATTTCTTTTCCCAATTTTTCTTCTACTTCCTAATCTGCTTTTTAAAATTCTTTTTAAGCTACTTCAGGAATTCTTTTTGGGCCTCAGACCAAATTACATTTTTCTTTGAGGTTTAACATGTAGCCATTTTGACACTAGTGTCCTCTTCTAAATTTATGCCTTGATCCTCCCTATCACCATAGTAACTTTCTATAGTCAAGCTCTTTTGGTTTTTGATCATTTTTTTCTGTCTTTTTTTCTTTTTTTGTGATTTGGTATTTTAATGTGAGAGTTGGGCTCTGGTCCTACACTGTCCCAAGCTTTTTGTGTTGGGGCTCTGGGTCTTACTACTATCTTTCACTGAGCTTCAGGGCTTAGCTGCTTGCTTCCTCTGGAGGGTAGGCTTCCCTTCTGGCTTGTACTGGGGGATGGAGTCTCTCTGCTGGCTCTCCCTAGGTGTGGGGTTTACCTCTAGGCCTGCCCCAGGGGTGGGATCTACAGCTAGGTTGCTAGAGAGGCACTAGCCTCTCAACTAGCAGGCCCTGGAGGAGTAATTGTGTTGATGATATACCTAGGGGTGAGGCCTTACTGCTGGGTTGTTATGGGAACAGGGTCTCTCTGCTGGTAGGCTCCAGGGTCACTGTTGGCCAGCCCCAGGGCGGGGCTTCCCTACTGGTCAGCAAGGGGGTGGAGGCTTCTTTGGTGGCTTGTGCTGGAGCCCCTGGGAGGGGAGGGGCTTGCTGAGCTGTACAGACTCCTCACTTGCCTTAGGGGGCTGCTGGTTTACAGGATGGCCTCTATGGTGAATTGCCCAAGGCTTGGAGCCTTGCTGCAGGCCTCCCCCCGCTGTGAGGCTGGCTGCTGCTGCTGCTCATGGACCTCAATCCCTTCCCACCTCAGTGAGACAGACCTTTCCTGCCCTGCTGGTCAGCTGCTTCCATGCTCTTTGATCAATTCTGAGGCAGTTTCTATTTCTTTGAAGGGGAATTTGGGAGGGCTTGAAAGGGTCCCTTCCTCTCTCAGCTCCCTTGGCACTGGAAGTCCTCTTAAATGAGAAAAAACCATTTTTAAAACACGGAGAAAGCTAGTTTTTAATGAAGTGTGGATAAAAATAGCCAAAGATGGCTTTTGTGGCATCATTAAGTAAAAAGCATTGATTGATTACCATAAAACCCTTGAACTTATTTGCACAAGATCACAAAGAAGAAAAACACATTATATTTCTTCCACTGCAACCATAACAGTTTTTAAATAATATACCAGTTTGAACTACCCAGAACCACTACTAGAAGTGGCCATTTTCAGTGGAAAGCTCTACATCATCAAATGAGATCATATCTGGAAAGTGCTTAGCACTCTGCCTGGCACACAACAGATGCTTAATAGATGCATGCTCCCTTCCCCAACCCTTCACACCCAAACCACAGCCTATAAACCACCCATCACAGCCAAAGGCCAGGGGCAAAGATCAGTAGTGGGATGAAAGAGACCAGAGGAGGACAAAGACCCAAAAAAAAGATCAGCTCGAAGGCAGCAACACTGGCAAAGCCCATGCCTGGATTTTTTCATAGGTCAAGAGAGTTAAAAAATTAACTCAATGTGATATCCAGTTTTCACTCTAATTCCTAAACACATTTTGGGTCAGGCTCATAGTCAAGATAATAAACATCAGAGACTGATGACAGGAAAGAAGGTACTTACAGTTCTTTCAGGTGTGTCTGAGCAAAAGCATTTTCTTGGATAGACATTATAGCATTATTGTTTAAGTCTCTGCAACCAAAAGAAACAAAACACTTTTTACCTCTCCCCATCTGTACAAATGCAATCAAAACACTTTTTTAAGCAGTCACAAAAACCTTTGCTAACAGCAAAGGTTATTTATGGATCCTAATGTATGCAAACTACTTACAGATGCTCAAGGGCTTCAAGACCGATGAATGCCTTCTTTGTGACCGACTTAATATGGTTTCCTTGTAAGATTCTGAAACACAAACAAACCTTCCTAATAAAATTCTCCATGCCGCCCCCCCCAATTCACTAAATTAACCTATAGGCCAGGATGAACTTAAAAAAAAAAAAACCTTCAATTTTCAAGAGCTATAAGTCTTAAATACAAAACCAAAAATAACATGAAGGCTCTGAACATCACTGACCATGGTCATGGAAAATGGAGTTGTCCTCCTTGTTACATGTTTTTCCCCCTTTGGTAGCAGATCTAAGTCTCAGAGGGGATCCCCCATTCAGAGCTGGAGAGACCTGGGGGGTCCTTCATCATGAAGGTGAAGAAATTGAAGCCTAGGAGGTTAAGTGAGTTTCCAAAGCCACACAGGAAGAACAAGCAGCAAAGCTGAGATGGTGACCTGGGAGCCCTGGCTTTTGTGCAATTCACAACTTGGCAGGCAGCCTTCTTGGGGACAAGTTGCTGGAAGGCCCAGCCTGGTTCAGGTGTCTTTGTCTTACCTATAGGATTTGCTTAACATATGCTTATTTTATCAAATCTACATGCATCATCTCACAGAATCTCACATTTAGGTGTGAAAATAGAGTCAACAATCCCAATTACCGCTAGATAGAGCTGATGGAAACTTCATGGTGTTAAATAGTTTTATTCTATTACTGTAACTCCTGTGACTCAGTACCTTTTTTTTTAACCTGAGCACAAATAGCTTCACTACATAGGTGCCCACAGCTTTAGAAGATAACAGTTTTTCAAGAGTAAGGAACCGAAACAGAAAGCAAATTCCGGAGTAGGTTAAATTCCTCTGGGTGGATAAGAAATAAGGCATCAGCTCCAAAAGTCTTAGTGCATACACAGCTGTAAAACACACTTTTGCACAGGCACACACAAGACCAGAATACATACAATTTAGTGAGTTTGGTGAGTCCGACAAATGCTTCACTTGCGTCTTCGATGGCCCAGGAAATCTCATTGTTCCGTAAATCTCTGCAAGAATGAAACCGCCTTTTTCATTTGGGGAAAGGCCAGCAACCACTAATGTTAGTTAACATGGCAGTTCAATGGTTAGCATCCTGACATGGCCATGCCAAATAACCACTCTAGTTTGATCCTTTACCTAAAAATCACAGAGTATTTTCAATGCAGACTATGCTTTGAATGAGTTACTTAGGAAGAAAGTTCTGTGATCATCTGAAAGACAGACATGTGAGAGAGATTTGCTGTTTGTCACAAGCTAAAAGATTCCAGAGGCAAGCCTGGATAAGTAAATTAAGCAACATGCTAAGAATGTTAATCTTCCTGGCTAACAGTTCCTAACTGTGTTAGCATATTAAAAGATTATAGGAAGGGTACTGTACAGGGCTGCCAGGCAGGCAGCAAGTTTTTCCAAGTGCAGGGAATATAGTTCACAAATCTGGTTACTGGCTAATGGGATTTCTTTGTGACCTATGTCTATCCCCAGGGTCCTCAGCTTAGAAAGGCTGACTAAGAGTAATACCAATACAGCATTTCACAGCTCCAGAGCAATTACACTCTTCCCCTGGGAAGTAAGGATGATACACCCATGTGAATAACAATGCCTACAGTGTTTTCTTTAAAATGAAAATTATGGGCCTTTTAAAATCCACTAGTCCATCCTCAAAGGAAATGTAGTTACATGAGTGTGTTAGATGAAAAATGCCAGTAAGAGAATATTTTATTAGTATTTGATATCTCTTCAAACCTGCTTATGCCCAAACACCAAAAATTTCTACTTTTACAGGCTATTTTAAAGCTATGTGGATTAGTCAACTTTCCTAAAAACTAAGCATTAGATTATTAAAACCTTCAATGGCCTACCTCACTCAAAATCTCACTATTAAACAGGAAAGGTTTTTTCTTCCCACCTTCTAAGGCTCATTTTATTTAAGTCTGCTTATCTCCTGCCCTTCTTCCCAAAGATAAAGAAAGGCCAAAGGATAAATCCAATCCCAGAGCTAGAATCTCCAAACTCTGGCTCCAATTCTGTCTTCAGTTCCTCTTAGGCAGCTAAAAGCAGTCAATAAGGTGTGCACATAAGGTGTGCCCTAGTGCCTTACAGGTAATTTCACTCTTGTTCCTTGGTAAAGTATAGAGTTCTGAGAGTCGAGACTAGCTGAGATGCCCTTTGTCTTATCAGCTCTCCCAAAATGGCTGTAAGAGGTAAATCCAATCCACACTAGTCAATTCACTCTGACAAGAAGCTAGAAAGCTCTTGAAAATCAGCCAAATCCAAATTTGGAGAAAAACCACCTCATCTATCTTAAAATTCAGACAAAAGCCTCTGCATAAGAAGATCTAAGTTACATTCTCATGCATGGTTAAGCACCAGTGTTTGCAACCTTCTCAATCAACATGACCTCTTGTCTTAAGGCATTTGTTGATTCAGAATTTGATGACCAGACAGCCTCCTACTTAGGGGTCTTTAAGACCATACAAATTCTGCTAATTAATCACTCTTTTTGCCATATACTTTTGAGATTATTTTTATTTCATTAAAATACATTAAGGCTAATAGAACATGACAATTTATAAAAATCTCCTATAATTTTGCTAATTAAGGCATCTTCTTAATTAACCAATAATCAGGATGATTTATTTCAAATGACTTTCTAAATGACAGATAAAAGTTCAGATGTATTCCTGATTATCATTAAAGATTGTAAGTTCCTTCTAGATAAGAATGGTGTGCCTTACAATACCACCCCAAAGGTGCTTAGCATAATGGTAGGCACACAGTGGACAGAAAATACTTATTGACTGATCGATCTAAAAAGCAGGTGCAGTTGAAAGATTTGTTATAGTTTTAGTCTAGGGCAAAGGAACAACAAAATTAAAATAATTACAAAATTTTTAAATTACAGTGTTGAGTACATGTTAGTTATATTCATTTCCTCTGCCTTTTTTATTGAAGCAAAAGTCAATTTTGTTGAGCCAGTATACTCACAATGTCTGAAGATTGGAAAGGTCTTTAAAAACCCCATCAGCAATGTGAGTCACCCTGTTGTCCCCTAAATTCAACTTCTCCAATAAGCTCAGACCCACAAAGGCAGATTCATCCAGACGAGTTAACTGATTATAGGACAAGTCACTGTAAATAAGATTTTGGCAACAGTAAGAAATTCATTATATCTGAGTTCAACTTATAATTCACATCCTTCTTACAAGATACATGTATTCTAGAACTTTCAAACTCCTAACACATAGGTTAGGAACTTCTAGCCTTCATTACTGACTATGGCAATTATTCATTTCAACCTGACCTAAACTGCGAAGTCATCACTGAAATTGAGTTTAACACTTACAGTTCAGATAGCTGCTGGCAGAACTCCCAGGCATCAGGGCTGATTCGGTCAATAGCATTCTGGCTGACATAGAGCTGCTGTAATGTCCTCAAGCCATAGAGCCAGCCCTTGTTCACTTCTATTAAGTTATTGTGCTCCAGTTCTCTGCAGAGTCAGAGAAACAGAGCAGAAAATGGGTTATAAAACAAGATATTCAATGAGAAGAATATTCTTAAATCTTCATGAAGTCTTAGTCCTGGACGGTGTCTAGCCCAAGACCTCTTCTTTGCTCAATCCTACAATATCTGAATTTAGGAGGATCTATCAATGAACTCAACAATCTGTTTAAGGCTCAATAAAGTAGCAAGACTGCTGAGGAAAATCAGATGTTCAAAACCTAAGAGCTTGAGTAGATGTGACCAAACTGTGTCCAATATGCCTAATCTTGATGGGTTCTGATGGTCCCCCTCACCTAACAGAATAAAGTAATTCAGTTAGATTTATATATGATACTCAAGAGCAGAGCAGCCAAATCCACTGATTTCACATTTTACAAAGCACTCCAACTTTTGTACATCAATTGCCTCAGGGATTAGAGCACAGAACTCCTTAGTATAAACTCTGTGTAATAAAAGACCCTACTCCAGCCTTCTGAGTCTTAGAAGTCCTAATCAGAAGCCCTAGTTGACACTCCCCTGCTGTGGTTGCTAGTACTTACAATTCTTCCATGTTAACCAAGCCAAAGAAAGCTCCATCCATAAGTCTGCTAATTCCATTCCGCTGCATTTTCAAAGATTTTAAGGAATCAAGCCCTTGGAATGTAAGACTTTCCACAGTTTTAATCCTGTTTCTTTTAAGTTCTCTTTAAGAGAAATATGAACAAAAGTTAATACATACACAGTTGAGAATCATCCACTTTAATAATAATAATAATAATTAAAAAAAAGATAGCTACATAGAAGAAAAAGACCTCTCCAATTAGCTACTTACAGAAACTGAAGATGAGGCAGCTTAAAGATCTTAGGTGGAATCATGCTAATTCTGTTTCTGTTTAACTTGACCACTACCAAAGAACTGGACAAATTATCAAAGCAGCCAGCTTCCAAGGTGGCTATCCTGTTATTACTCAGATTCCTGAAATAAACAAGGCAAAAATACATATTGAACAAGAATTCTACCATAAGACAATACTATTATTTCAGTTCTTAACAGATTTATACTGAGAAGTCAGCAATTCAGCAAGTTTTATTTACTTATTTTCTATACAACTACATTAGTAAAATAAACCAAAGGTAAGCCTTAGAAATCGCCTTATTTCTTTTTTTCTGACCAGGAAATATTATAACCTTACTATCTTAGCAAAAATGAATACCATGACTCAGGTTATCATATAAACACACACTTATCTAAATGGAACTTTTTTTTACTTACAGATATTTCAGTTGCATTCTAGGAAATGAGGATGCCTTGATTTCTGAGATGATGTTTGAGCTGAGATCCAGAGTCTCCAGGGAAAGGTAAAATTGGAGCTGTTCTGTACTCACTTCCGGAATTACATTGTGCACTCTGAAGACCAAAAAAGAGAACTCTAGAAGTTACTTGTGACCTATTCTTTAAGTATGACCTATACCAATGGAGGCAGAAGAATTATGAACAATATAGTGTCTATTAAAAGATTTAAGGAAAAAAAACTGAAAAAAATCCTTAAACATTTACTTACAATGAAAGGAGAGTGATGTTAGAAGTTAGTTCTCCAAAATATGGAATTTCCATTAACTCATTATAATTCATTTTCCTGCGGAGGAAAAAAAAGGAAAGATTGATTCTTCAATGATTTTTTTTTTCTTCTCTAGTTCTTGACTAGAAAGTGTGCAGACTCTAGGACACACAATGAGCTTAATAAATTTTCACTGATTGACCAGATTGACAGTCAACACAGAAAAAAACCCATGGCCCACAATATAGTGGACTAGGACTAAAAATTATGACTGCTCTTTTTAAGATTGATAGTCTATTATCATTATGACACTGATAAGCTCAGAAAAAACTAGGAAAAATTGTGTAAATTCATGTTTTTAACTTTTCTACAGAGCTAACCAGTTAGCTGTGTTTATATCCATTCTGGGAAAAAATATAGGTGATTAATACATGTGCATACACATGTATATGTACATATATGTATGCAGGTATATACACACACACACATATGTATATGAATGCATATTATCAAATTAAGCTACTTCATGTAGTCCTGAGCTTCTTGTGAGTAGAACTATTCAGAGAAAGCCCAGGTCAGCGTTTCTTAAACTTAAATCATATGGAGTCACAACCCACAGTTTAAGAAGCGTTGAAGGGGTTGAGAGTAGAAAAAGTTTAAGAAGCCCTGGCCTAGATGATCATTTGCTGAGGATGTGATAGAAGGGATTCAGGACTGCACTGAATGGTCCCCTGAGTTTCTGAAACAATCCATATCTTTATGGGGAAAAGGCATCTGAACATCCAAAATCTTTGCAACAACATGCTTATACTTTTTTTTTGTATGAGTCTGCTTACTCTCATTTTATTTAAAATTAAAATAAAGCTTAGTTATGGGGATTAGAAGCAGAAAATAAGAAGATCAAGAGAAGCTGAGAGAGGAAGGTAAATGAGAATATCAGAAGTGTTAAGAGACAATATAATAGTGAGAAAAGACAGAGAACCCATATCTAAATTATGAACAAGACTCCCCATAACACAGAAGTCTGGGGCCATTTTGGGGTTTGGGCAAATAGGTCCCACCCAAAAGTACACATAAAAACACCTGAAGAATCATAATCAAAACAAAATTAAATTATTTTCAATACAGAGAAGAATAAAACTAACAAAAAGCTATCTAAGTAGACTGAGCTCCTTGAAGATAAAGAATGATATCTTCTGCACATAGGAGGCAACAAATAAATGCTTATTGAAATGAATTAAGCTTAAAGTAAGGGTGTGGGGGGGAGAATATGATTTCAACTTATCTTGAAAATACCAAAACAGGAAGGCCTCATTCCAACATTCCCAGATAAATGGGGTATTACTGTAAATAAACCTACTTTTTATATTATTCATTTATTTTAGATGCCAAATATTTAGCAGAACACAAGAAATGTTTACATAATGTGGGGGAGTCTTCTGTTTCTTTGGTAAATCTGGATAAAGAAAATACTGTACATAACTCCAGAAAGAAAAACTTCTCACTTGTGACTCTAAGAAAGTACAGTGCAAATGGCAACTTTAAAGCAACAATACAATGGCATAGTGCCCAGAGACTTTCCAATATAACAAATCCAAACAAACTGTTCTGATGTCTAATCACGGCTTTAAAATTTTAATTCTTTCCTCCCCTTATCCCACATTCTTTACCATGTCTGGAGTGGCAATCCCCAAACTGAAAATATTTATTAGGTCACAAAAATACAATTAAGAATAACTTACACTTCCTGTAACATCTTTGAATCCAAGCTGATGCTCCAGTTAGATAATCGATTATGACTCAAATCCCTAAAAAACAAAAAAATACTCAATTTTCATCTGAATCCTTGAAGAGGAGTGGGGCAAATGGTAGCTGAGCATACAACAAAAAGCTAAAGCAAAAACTCTATATTCACATTATATCAGGTGTTTATAAGATGAGAACAAATATTCATATATGAAAAACCCCCTAGAGTGCAACACTGAAGACAGCACAAAACAAAGTTGAAACTGAATCCATCTTCCATAGGGATGGCTTTTCTAAATAACACTCTTGCTCTAGGAATGGGAAATCCATTTCATAATATCACAGAATTTAGAGCTGGCAAAGGACTTCTGAAATGGAGTCTAATCCTCTCATTTTACATAGGTAGTGACAGAACCTTTATTCAAAATCAAGTCTTTTGCCTCCAAATCCAATGTTTGTTTTTTTTTCCCATTACTGCACACTGTCTTGTCAGTCCAGTTTACATTAACAATGGAGAAGAAATGGATAAAATAAAAATTAAATTCTACAGTTCACTTTTGCTTAAGTACAACCTAGTTTTGATTGAATTTGCAATGAGAGCTAAACATTTAAATAAGCTTTAAGAAACTTCCCTCTTGCTTGTTATTTTCTGGCACCTTTACAAGGCTGAGGTGGAATCCGGCCCACACAAGCCGTCCGCACAAGTGCTTTACTATATGATACAATATGGTTGGCAATAGGAACATGCTGGTGAAGCATTACAGATCACTGCAAGTGAAGAAGGAAGAGCTTATCTCACTGTGCTACCAAACAGTGTTGACAGATGCACCCAGGTTTGAACAATGTCTTTATTACAGCCAAACGATCAATTTTAGCCAGAGTCATGTCTGTCAGTGAAACCAAACACTTTCCCTCACAGACGTGAATTACACCATAATATCACTAAGGACATGCCAAAGATCCTCACCCTTTTTTCTGTAAAGGTTCTAACACCTTTGCTCTAGGCTGAAGTCTGGCAGGAGTTATCAGCTCAAGGGCATTAATGGGTGGAGAAGAGGGTGGGGAACATGGAGGTGATGAAATATGCCCAACAAAAAAATCTCACTCAGATATTTTTGCCCCCAAGCTGAGAGGAGAATAACACGAAATGTCACACAATTGTGAAAAGAAACTTTAGTTTTTATTCTTATTTTATTAGGAGGTTTCAATAAGGGCAGAAATTGAAAACCATTGCTCTCCTCCAAGTTAGTTCTTTCATGCTCTGCTCCAAGTGGAGCAGGCAGGCCAGCAGATAGTTCCTACCGATGGCGTTCCAGTTCTAGAGGTCCTTGCCTAGTAAGATCTTTTATCCTTTTTCTACACTAAAGCTTGCAGATTGGACTGTTCTCTTTTTTATTTGAATTGTGTTCATATGATCCTCCTTCCTAGTTCTTGGTAAGTCTCTGTTTCTCTATACATCTCTCTGCATATTCCTTTTTTGTTGCTGTTGCAAAGATTTTTATTCTCTTTTTTATTAGGTAATACTGGTGCATTTTTCTTCAGGAGATATGTGGGGGTTTTTATTAATTAATTTATTTTTAGTTTTCAACGTTCACTTTTACAAGATTTTGAGTTCTAAATTTTTCCTCCCTCCCTTCCTTCCTGCCTCCCCAAGACAGCATGCAATCTGATATAGGCTATACATGTACAATCACATTAAACATATTTCCACATTAGTCATGTTGTGAAAGAAGAGTAAGAACAAAAGGAAAAACCATGAGAAAGAAAAAACAAAAACAAAAGAAGACAGAAAATAGCATGCTTCACTCTGCATTCTGACTCCACAGTTCCTTCTCTGGATGTGGATAGCATTTTCCATCATGAGTCTTTTAGAATTGTCTTAGATCACTGCACTGCTCAGCAGAGCTAAGTCTAATAACGCCAGTCATTGCACTATGTTGCTGTTACTATGTGCAATGTTCTCCTGGTTCTGCTCACTTCACTCAGCATCAGTTCATGCAAGTCTTCCCAGGTTTTTCTGAAACCATCGTGCTTGTCATTTCTTACAGCACAACAATATTCAATCACAATCATATGCTACAACTTGTTCAGCCATTCCCCAACTGCTGGGCATTCCCTCAATTTCCAATTCTTGGCCACCACAATAAGAACTGCTATGAATTATTTTTGTACATGTGGGTCCTTTTCCCATTTTTATGGTCTCTTTGGGATACAAAGTTAGTAATGGTATTGCTAGGTTACAGGGTATGCACAGTTTTATAGCCCTTTGGACATAGTTCCAAATTGCTCTCCAAAATGGTTGGATCAGTTCACAACTCCACCAACAATGCATTAGTGTTCCAATTTCCCTACATCTTCTCCAACACTTATTATTTTCCTGTTTTGTCATATTAGCCAATCTAATAGGTATGTGGTACCTCAGAGTTGTTTTAATTTGCATTTCTCTAATCAACAATGATTTAGAGCATTTTTTTCATATAACTATAGATAGCTTTAATTTCTTCATCTGAAAACTGCCTGTTCATATCCTTTGACCATTCATGTATTGTACATCTCTCTGCATTTTCTACACAAGATGATAATAAGTCTTGCCCCATGCTTTTTTCATGGATGTCACAGAATCGGATTTAGAGCAAAAAGATCTTTCTAGGTCATCTCCATCATTCTGCAGAAGATGACCAGCAAGGTAAAATTATCTGTACAAGGTCCCATAACTGATAAATGGCAGAGTCAAGATTTAAACTCAAGTCCTCTGACTCCTGATCCAGCAGTCTTCATGCTACCAGTGATTTTCCTTTATTTATCCCATTCCATTCAAAAGGGTTGCTTAAAATTGTTATCAATTATTCATTCAGTTTTATCAAGTACAAGAAATACCAACACTTTCCATTACAGCCAAAGCAATACATACAAAAGATTTTTTAATAGAAACATGGTGTTTATACTTAGTTCCAAAGAAAAGTAGTCTGTGTCACAGCTAGGGGAGGGGAGGAGGAGGTGTGATGGGCAAAACCACTTTTCTATACCTTTCAAATCTAAGGCTGGGGTTCTTAACCTTTTTGGTGTCATGGACCCCTTTGGCCAGTTTGTTGAAGCCTATAGATCTCAGAATGTTTTTAAATGCACAAAATATATGGGATCACAAAGGAAACCAAATATAGTAAAATACATTTATGAAAATATACATACATCTATTTTAAAGTTTGCCAACACCAAGTTAAGAACCCCTTGTATAAAGGATCTAAGACATCTCCAAAGGCCTCATGATAGAAGACCCTATCCACAAAGAAGAAAGAACTATGGAGCTTGAATACAGACCAAAGCACACTATTTGCTATTTTTTTTCTTCTGCTGTGTTTTGTTTCCTCTTTCTGGTGGTTCCTCCTATTGGTTCTAATTCTTACTTACAACATCACTAATGTGAAAATATGTTTAATAGGAATGTATATGTATAGCCTATATCAGATTATGCGCCATCTAGAGGAAGGAGGTAGGGAGGAGGGGGAGAAAAATCTAAAACTCCAAAGCTTATGGAAGTGATTGTTGAGAATTCAAAATAAATTAATTAAAAAAAAGAACCCCTTGTATAAAGGAGAAAGGCGGAGAGGACAGGGAATGGAGGTGAAAACTTACACTCTGAACCTAAACTGTAGTCTCATTCACCTGGAAGATGACTGCTTTATAACAAAGGTTTTGGGGTATTTTCCCATCCAACTCCCATCTTACACTAAAATCAGTTCCACAGCTAATACTGCAGCAAGGTACCAGGAGAAGACTTAGGGCCATTTATTTATAAAACAACACATGCCACAAAGCAGGGAACATAATGTGTCTGTAATTAACATGCTCTGGAACAACCATCCTTCCTGTAGCAGGTACAGGCAATCAGTAATCTGCTAACATCTAAATCCTCCCTTCTAGCTAAACTAGCATTATGTGGATTACCATACACTAACTAGTAGAATTTATATCATATATGCAGCTGCAGATATAAAGAAAACTATAGATCGGTTCCAGTGATAATTTGAGAACTTAAAAGCTTCAGATTTCTTCAACTGGCCTATGCCTTTTGATTGAAAATTTTAATATCCAGAGAATCTGTTCACTGTTCTCAGGATTTCTCTTTTCTATAACAATTATACACATTAGTACAATTGATGCTAAAGTAAAAAGAAAAAAAATCCCTAACAAATCACACATTTTAAAAAGATGCTTTTAAAGTCTAAATAGGCTCAAATTGAATGAATTGCAAAAGATTTTTCTGGAGAAACAACTCAGGGTAGTTTGCTGTGGCTTAGCACTCAAAAATTGGTACAATCTTCACTAAGTCTTCACTAATACTTCAACCCATGTTTAGCACTTCTTTTAAAAAAATTGAAGTTCTAAACCCACCTGAAAACAGAATTCTTTTGTCTCCAGGGTTTTTTCTCTTAGTAGCATGCTACAATACATTCAAGTACTTAATGAAATGACCTACTGTTATTGAACTAAATCTAAAAAAGCTCAATGTTGCAACAATCACTATTATAACTTAATATCTCATCTTTTCAGCTTCTAACACCACTGGTATCTGAATATTTATGGGTAAGATAATTGAAAAGTAGAGGTCTTAAGAGCCAGCCTTATCAGTGTTGTGAACTAAGCTTCCCCTCATGCTAATCTACAGGGATAGAGCTGTAATAAATGATGAATTATTAAAGTTCTTGATATCCTGTGGAGCCAGAGGTGCCATTAATGTAGTCATTTAGTGCCATCACAGTGTAAATAATTTATAGGATCTGCAGAGCAATCACAACAGGTTAGAAAAGGAGAACTGTGCTCCACAAGGTAATTACAAAGTCCTTAGGCAAGAGAGAAGCAGGGGGGTTTCCTCCACATAATCACAGAAAACTAGATGTCTAAGTCATCTTACTCATTTTCTACTTCTAGTACTATGCAGCATTAGTGAGCTGACCTAGAGACTTTAGAGATAATAATCTTTATGAAAAGAGGCACCCCCCCTTTGCAAAAATTAATAGGGCTAATAGTACCTGGAAAACAAACGTTATCACAACTCATTTTC